CCTTTGATGAGCATAAAGCCCCCCTCACTTTTGTCAGTCTTCACATTCCTGATTATCTCTGCATTCTCAGAGAAGGCCCAGACTGTTTAAATCATCCGTTTGTTGGAGAGGAGCCCAGACTGTTGTTGAGTTAGCTACTAGCCACACTGTACTGAGTGATACTGGTAAACCTGGCCATATTTTTAGCGCCACCATTCTCAGCTAGATTGTTAGTTGCACCCCCAAGAGGACGAACTCTTTCACAGCCAAACTCTGCAGTGTGAAAATAGCTAGTCTCCAGCGTTGCTGTATTTTACCTTCTTTTTTTCTCATCTATTATGTATCGGCATGTCATCTACCTATTTCATACTTTTACCCTCCATCTACTTGGCATGCTGTGAATGCTTTGACACTTTTGTATTCCAGCTATTTGGGGAGCTTCCCTCCCCCACTTTTTACAACCTCATCAAAAACCAGATTCCCTCATGTGTGAGAGCTATATCTGCTCATCAGAAAACAATGTCAGCCTTTCTGTCCTGGCATGAGAGGAAGAGTGAGGGATCGAAAGATGGAGAGTTCTTTGTGTTTCCACTCAGAGTTCGAGAGAAAGAAAAGCCGCTGTTGTGTCCCCCCCACATCTCATGGTCTGAGAGAAATGGCCTTTGAAGTGGAGGGAGCTAACACCATGCTCCACAGTGGCATTTAAATGGAGAGCAGAAAATGTAACAACGAAACAGGAAATCTTGTCAGAATCTAAGTAAATGACGATACGTTGTTGTACTTTTCCACATTTTCTGTGGTATTTTATTTGAAGACTCGCAGTGTTGTGATTGGCTGAGCTCAATAACAGCATGACTGTGTTATTGTGTACTTGTCAGATTAACATCCACATCTATACCAGCACTCAGTAGAATATTAACTTAATGAGACGATCAGTGTTCACTCTTCATCGCTGATGAGGTTTCATCTGTCGGTCGTTGTGATGGTCTGTGTGGGGTCTTTATCAGAGCGTCCCTGTTAAATCACTACTGTGAACTGGATGTTCTTAGTGGCAACAGCTTGTTCACACAAAACACAATGGGAATAGGAAAAACGGAAATAGGAGAAAGAAAAACAGAAATGGGAAAAACAAAAATGGAAAAAGGGTAAAAATGAAAACAGAAATAGGGAAAAATGAAAACGGAAATAGGAAAAAAGAAAACGGAAATAGGAAAAACGAAAATGGAAATAGGAAAAATGAAAAAGGAAATAGGAAAAGCGGAAACGAAAATGGAAATAGGAAAAACGGAAACGGAAATGGAAATAGGAAAAACGGAAATGGAAATAGGAAAAACAGAAATGGAAATAGGAAAAACGGAAAAGGAAATAGGAAAAACGGAAACGGAAAAGGAAATAGGAAAAACAAAAACGGAAATAGGAAAAACAGAAAACCGAAATAGGAAAAACGGAAATAGGGAAAACGGAAAACGGTAATAGGAAAAACGGAAAACGGAAATAGGAAAAACGGAAATGGAAATAGGAAAAACGGAAATAGGAAAAACACAATGGTAATAGGAAAAACGGAAATAGGAGAAACAAAAACAGAAATAGGGAAAAATGGAAATAGGAGAAACGGGGAAAAACAAAAAACGTAAATAGGGAAAAATGAAAACGGAAACAGGAAAAATGAAAACGGAAACAGGAAAAATGAAAACGGAAATAGGAAAAACGGAAATAGGAAAAACGGAAATAGGAAAAACGGAAATAGGAAAAACGGAAATGAGGAAAAAAGAAAATGGAAATAGGAAAAACGGAAATAGGAGAAACAAAAATGGGAATAGGAAAAACAGAAACGGAAATAGGAAAAAACGGAAATAGGAAAAATAAAAAGGGGGAAAACGAAAACGGAAATAGGAAAAACGGAAATGAGGAAAAAAGAAAATGGAAATAGGAAAAACGGAAACGGAAATAGGAAAAACGGAAATAGGAAAAACGGAAATGAGGAAAAAAGAAAATGGAAATAGGAAAAACGGAAATAGGAGAAACAAAAATGGGAATAGGAAAAACAGAAACGGAAATAGGAAAAACGGAAATAGGAAAAACAAAAAGGGAAAACGGAAATAGGAAAAACGGAAATGGGGAAAAAAGAAAATGGAAATAGGAAAAACGGAAATGGAAATAGGAAAAACAGAAACGGAAATAGGAAAAACAGAAACGGAAATAGGAAAAACAGAAACGGAAATTGAACATATAAATGAGTTAGTCATGTGATGGCAAGGAGAGGAGGTGGGGCCGGATGGACAGGTTAACACAGCTTTGTACTTAACTTTCTTTTTCAAAAACATGACAGGTTACATGTGTATGAATGAGAGAGAGACATCTGTAACAGCTAAGGTACAAGGGTGAGAGGTGGTGAAGGTGGATGGCTTTAAATGAGAAAGGTGAAGAAGAAAGTTCAGGCAGGGTGGAGACGAGTGTCCAGTTCTGACACAAAGAAAGTTAAGGTTGACATGGTAACATGACCTGCTCTGAGGTGTGGTTTGGAGATGGTGACCAGAATGGACAGGATTAGAAACAGGAATGTTTGCACCTGTGCAGAGGAAGGATGAAACAAACATTATGTTCCCTGAACTCTAACCAGCTGTTCACTATAGTAATCAGTTACTAGTTACATTACAGGGTAACTACTGAAAAAGTAATATGTAACATTACAGGGTAACTAATGAGAAAGTAACATGTTACATTACAGGGTAACTAATGAGAAAATATGTTACATTACAGTGTAACTAATGAGAAATCAATATGTAACATTACTGGGTAACTAATGAGATAGTAATATGTAACATTACAGTGTAACTAATGAGAAAGTAACATGTTACATTACAGGGTAACTAATGAGAAAGTAATATGTAACATTACAGGGTAACTAATGAGAAAGTAACATGTTACATTACAGGGTAACTAATGAGAAAGTAACATGTTACATTACAGGGTAACTAATGAGAAAGTAACATGTTACATTACAGGGTAACTAATGAGAAAGTAACATGTTACATTACAGGGTAACTAATGAGAAAGTAACATGTTACATTACAGGGTAACTAATGAGAAAGTAACATGTTACATTACAGGGTAACTAATGAGAAAGTAACATGTTACATTACAGTGTAACTAATGAGAAAGTAACATGTTACATTACAGGGTAACTAATGAGAAAGTAACATGTTACATTACAGGGTAACTAATGAGAAAGTAACATGTTACATTACAGAGAATGAAGTCATTCTGATACTTATACCAAACAGAAAAACCTTTAGCTCATGCATGCTGCTCAGCGGTGTGTTCTGCACAGTTATCACTGGCTGCATTCACTTTACCTGCACAGTGAGTTGGCAGCACTCCGTCCTCCACATAACCAGCAGCACGTTTGGGATTCTTCCTCACAACTTTAGCTCAGAAACTGCTGGCTGCAGCTCCTCTTCAGCAGGCCCTGACGCCAGTGCTGTGGACGTGGTTGGACGTAGTCTCATTAGCAGCTTATGCGTTTGCACAGAATAATGCACCTATACTTCTGTGATGTAGAAGCCATCGTTTGTGTCTTCAAGTGGGACTGAAGACTGCATGTCCGTACTCTGCTCTTCACGCTCTGTTTGTTCTATTCGTGCTTCTTTCATTCGGGGATTACGGTATATTTGCATAATTACAGTCATCCCCACTTTTTATGATTTAACAACTTCAAAACATTATTCTTCACTCTCTGCTTTTTTCTTCCGTTCTTTTGATCATTGCTTACACACACACACACACACACACACACACACACACACACACACACACACACACACACACACTCATCTACCTGCTATCTTCAACTTTGGTGCTGCCAGTCAGGAATGTAGGTCTTCGCTTATTGGAGCAAGCAGCAACAGGTCTGACCTTCTGAATGGGAGTTTATGTGAAGGGAAGCTTTAAACAAAAGACCACGATCAGGACAAAAAGACAGTCTGAAGAAGCTAAAGTCACGAGCAGTGCCACAGGTGTCCCGCTCACAGTCGAGTCCCTGCTGGGTTTGCTGGGTCGGTCAGTCTGGAGCAGCGTGGTGCCATGCAGGCGATGCATTTGCTGGACAACTGGAGAAAGGTAGTGGTTATATTTGGAGCCAACCACTGACAGGTGAACACTTAAACGCTGCTTGGTTCCTCTCACCGAACAAGAAAAGAGGAACAAAGTGTTTCTTCAGGCTCAAAAAGGAGTTTGGTTTTTTTACACAAAAGCTCTTTGCTGAGAGCTCTTTGCTATTTTTATTTTCTGCCTGTTTTGTGATTTACTGTTTTTATGGCTCGCTCAAGGCTGCGCAGTCTGTCAGGAGAGCAAACACGCTGATAATGCAGCAGTGCTTTGTTATCCTGAAGGCAGAGCGTATCACGCACAACATTTTAGGCTTGCATACGACTCTGGTTGGCTCTGTAGACTCTGGGATAATTATGTGTTTTCTAACCTTTCCTGTGTGGTTTTCTGTGCTTCTCACATAATGACTGCAGTGTCTAACACATACACTAATATAGACACGGAGCGTTATTTATACACATCCATCCTGTGCTGACTTGATGGAAATACCCCAAAAATGACGTGAATAAAATGTGATGAGTGTGTGTTTGAGGAGATTTCCAGTCAATGTGTCAAGAGGTTTAAATGTGTGTGTTAAACCATCTGTTACCATCTGTTGTGTGTGTGTGTGTGTGTGTGTGTGTGTGTGTGTGTGTGTGTGTGTGTGTGTGTGTGCGTGCGTGCTGACAGTATGAATCACACCTATAGAGGCATTAGTGTGAGGGCAGAGTTGGGATGGGGATTCCCGACACGCGCGCTCAGACTTTCATGAACTGTAGTGGAAACAAAGTGTGAGTCTGGGACCTTTTTAAGCTTTTAGCTTTTACTTAGACATGGACTCCAAAAACAGAAATGTTTTTCCCTTTTTTTAACGTTTGAGAAATGAGCTCAGCCGTGACGACGTTTGTTACTCATGTTCTCATTTCCTCTTTCAGGATCTTCATGTGTCGCAGGGAGCCGTGGACAGCTCAGTGGATATGGACCGCCTGAACAGGAACATGCCGGAGTGTGGACGGCAAACTCACCAGGTGTTACAGGTAAATGTGTGTGTGTGCGTGTGTGTGTGTGTGTTGTGAGATGGAAATAAGAGTCAGTCAGAGTTTTATTTTTGTTCATTGGTTCATTCAGTGTCATGCACGTTAGACAGAAGTAGACGCCTTACCTCCACACTAACCTTGAGATCCATTGTTATCATTGTGACCTACAGTGGGAGCTCCACAGCGTCCAACCACAAACAACCAGAGCTGGGAAATAAGTGCAAGTGCAGAGTAGAACTTTGTTTTTAATCTGCACTTTACTTGAGTAGTTTTTTCTGACAACTGTTTCCTTTCACTCCATACAGTTTTACACGAATATCTGTACGTCGTAAAACGGGCTCGTTACTTTAGGTTTAACACACCTGTGGGAAGTCCTTACTTCACATCACTGCACGACTTCAAATAGCGCACCGATCGGAGACTAAACAGTAACGCAGTATCCATCACTGGGGCTTCTAACATACAAAGAAGTAACAGAGGCAAACCCATGTCATTTATGCATCATTCATAGCGCTGTGCTCAGGGTTCAGCTGTGCCATAACGAGCTGGACTGTGTTTTTTGGTGAGGACGTCAATAATAAGGTCAATAATTACAGGAGTGAGCATGAAGAGTCCAAACACTTGATAGTTTTGAATGAGCACATTTGTGTCCTGTAGCTCCAGGGAGCATTAAAGACTGTTTTTGTTTTTGAAGAACTTGAAGCACAAGAACATAATCATTTAATTAGTAATTAGATTACACCATACAGCCTCAGTGCCATTTTCTAGATGCGATCACTTGCTGAACAAAGTCTTCATTTAGCCATATTTATTAGTCGTTGTTAAGGCCAGAGATGCATTGAGACCGTTTAGAGTCGGAGTCTTTGTAATGTGGCCTGGGACACCGTTCTTCTAGACGTGGCAGCTTCTTAAAAACACACAGAGGGCGCTCTCGTCGTCTGACGTCCTCTGATGTTGAATGTCGGCACACTGGGCGATGGGACGGTGTCCTGGCATGGAGACTCCACGGAGCGTAAGCACAGAGGCTGCCGTGTCACTGAGGTCGGCTCCAGCAGCACATATGTTGACGAGGGTAATGCAGTAATTAGACAGACTCGCAGATTAGATGTCTGTGCTTCACACCTGCTGCTTCTAAAAATCCTGCAGGCATTAAGGAGGGGGGGGTGTTCTTCTTTCCTTTTTTTCTGTGCATATATCCAGTTAGAGATTAAACTTCAGTGATTCCTGCAGACGTGCTCCGCAGACATGAGAGACGTTTAAAGGGAACTCGTCTTCATCTGCAGATCTTTTCAGAAGCTTTGACATTCAAAATACTCCTCATGTATCTCACACTGGGCCTGGCTGCTGCCCCTCATATCTGCTCTGTATGACATCATAAAGATCCATGAGCAGTGTAAGGCTGAGCTTTTGGCTCCCAGTTATTTGTACATTATTTCAAACTTTGGTTATGTTTAATGTGAGCATCCACCAAGAAACTCATCTCTTATTTCTTCAAAAGCACCCAGCTCAGCACAGCAGCATGAACGCTGATCTCTGTTTAAACAGTCGTCACAGCAGATATCTCAGTCAAACTGAGCAGCAGATTGCTGCTGGGCCGATGTCACCCACCTGTGCAAAACAGCTTCTTATACTTCTGAATTTCACTTCCTGGTTTGGGGGGTGTCAGCCTGATATTAGCACGGTGTGACTCCTCTTTCCTTAAAGTCTCTGCAACAAAGCTGATGAGTGCAAATAACCGCTTTGTTGCTGGAGAGGAAACAAAGAAGTCAAAGCAGGAAACAAATCTCTGAGTCTTGGTTTTTCCAAAGTTTACAGCTCCTAGCACTCTCCCTGTGGGCTCTGAGGTCCTGCACTGGTGTTTCACAGAGACGCCTGCAGAGGCTGCAGCCACTATGTGCAGGACCGTTCATCATCACTCCAAGAGGACACGGCAATGAAATGAAACCGAACTGTCCTTTCAGACAAGTTGGCATTAGTCTCCACATTTCTACAATAATTAATTCTGTTAATTCACAGAAAAATGAGCAAAAACCAGGAAACAATATTTTGAACACAGTTGAAAAAATGTTTTTCTGCTATTTAAATTGAGCTGAGAGAGATTTTATGAGTTTAATCCAACATCTGATGATATTGATGATACTTTTTTGATTTGTCATTTTTAGTTGAATTTGCTGTGACAAAGTGATCCTGTAGTGAATTCATCTCTTCAAAGGCAGTAAAGAAATCAATAAGTCAAAGAGACGTAAACAAGGTTATCCATTTAAAATCCCCCAAATAAACATGTGACCATATAATGAGCGGACGTCTGCTGATAGCAGCGGTACCTCACAACAGCTTCACTAATGTACAGACGAAGTACATATTTGCTTCTTAGATTACATCACAGTGTGTCCTGCACATGCAGGCAGGAAGCTGAGAGCTCCACATGGAAGCAGCAGCACACAGCAGATAAGCCATCTTGCAGACTCCACCCCTCTCATCCCATCACTCCCAGTATAAGCTCTCCCAGTGCCGTAAGCAAGATGCCCTCTATCTCAGCAATCCTCTTAGACTTGACCCCACTCTACCCACCGACCCCCGCCATCAGATAATCCTATCAGGACACGCCTGGCTAGCTAACCAGCCGAGAGGACGGCGAGTCACTCGTCTCGTCCTGAGAATGAAAAAAACAACACACAGCCTCATAAGTGGGACACAAAGATGCAGACACAGCAGTGTTTGAAAATGCAAATCAATGCCAGTAAATGCCTCCACACTCCTGCAGCTCCTTCAACACTGGAGCTGCCACAGAGCCGTGAAAACAACGTCAGACGCTGCCTGTCAGCACAGGTGGAGCACAGGTGGAGCACAGGTGCTCCACCTGTGCTCCACCTGTGCTAGTTTGAAGTCCCAGACACTGGGACTGGAGCAGTCCCAGTGTCTGGGACTTCAAACTAACTCTGTGTGCAGTGAAGGACAGTGTTGTGGACCGACACGCATTCAGACAAGTTCATGTGTTCAATCATGAAAGCATGATGTGCTGGCTTTGCCCAACATCAGCTTCCATGCACTTAATCACTTCTCCCACAGTTTCATGCAGTCACATGTAGTTCACGAAAAGAAGTAATTAGGTTTGGGATGAACTAATGAACACAGTGGAAACACACACAGGCAGGAAGTGAAAAATGTTCAATTTACCAAAATAAGACAAAGAGAAGAAGAATGTCAGGCGGGGACGCTTACGAGATTTACAGCTCCTGTGCACGAGGCTGATCATGACACTGGAACAGAAACATAGTGCCAAACAGCCGCACATCCTTCTGCACAGGCCTTCATGAACATGTATGAGCCAATGGGAAATAAAGATGCTTTTAAACAAACAGTGCATCAAATATGTTGACCACTACAAACAAAGCAGGACCTGAATTTTTATCCATGCACAGGGTCACCAGTGAGAAAGCGTGGGAACCAGAGCAGGAAGTTCTCCATCATGGGAGTTTGTCAGAAAAACTCGAGCTAAGAGCTCCACGCAACAGCTTCGGTTTGTCCCGTGAGAACTCGTCTATCGAGCCTGAGCGCTTTCCTGCCTCTCAGTCAGGCCTCCGTGCTGCTAACGGTTACAGAGCAGAAGACACTTGCGCTGCGCTGAAGTGCTCATCACAGGTTTGCTCGCCAAACGCCCTCCAGGAGCTTCGTGTCTCTTAATTGTGGAGCGCTGTTGCCATGGTGACGTCCCTTCCCCCTCGCCGAGCTGAGCGCACGGAGCCGCTTCAGCCTGAGCTGTGAGGGGAAGACGACGCGCACACCTCCCTCAGAGGATGATGTAAACAGCCACAGCAGCCTCCTCTGTGGCTCTGAGTGAAGCAACAAAAAGAGCCATCTCTCCTCTGTGGCTGCCCCCTGTGATGCTGCACGTCTGTGCTTTTATGTGACGTGCAAAACCAATTAGTTTGACTAATGGACGAGAAACAATCTCCCGTTAGGTCCCAGTCACAGCACTTTATCATCCACACACACGCCACGGCGTGACCTCCTCGGGTTCAGAGGTACAGACGGTCGGCTCTGTCAGGCTAACACAGCACGCTGCCGTGCTTTCACATGGCCACACATACCGACGCTTCAAAGATGGAATGGTAATGGCATTTTGTATAATTAATTACACCTCTAGCAGCCAATCAGAATCCCTTCTTGCGATAGAGAACATGCAGCATGAGGCGAGGAGCATGCTTTTAAATCACATGACCGATGTTTATTTAATGTGCCAAAAACAGTCATCACACACTGTTAATGTTTGTCTGCAGAGCACCCCGCTGGACCTGATCGAGACTGGAAAGGGGCTGAAGTTCCAAGCAGAGCGCCCCCACTTGGTGAGCTTGGGGAGTGGACGGCTAAGCACAGCCATCACCCTGCTGCCCCTGCCTGAGGGTGAGAGCACTGCCTTAACACCAACCGTCACATTAGTTAGCAGTGGGAGTAAAGGGTACCTGAACAGCAGGTGTGCAGAGGTGCAGCCATACAGAGCCATCGTCGTCAGGCTGTGGTCACTAACTTTATGTTTGGTTCATAAAGAACTGGTTCTTCACTGATGTAGCGTTAATGCCACATTCCCATAGAAGCTGAGCTTTTACACATGATGAACTGCTCTCTTCAGTTGGGTGTCTTCCCTGCTGCCTGTAAAATGGCGGTGCTGAGGCCCCTTCTGAAGAAGAGCAATTTGGATTGTAATGATTTTAAAAACTACAGACCTGTATCCAACTCACCATTTTAAGTACAATTTTAGAAAAACTTGTTTTTACTCAGATTACTGATTTTCTGAATGACAGACAGATCCTGGAGATATTCCAGTCTGGATTTAGGGTGAACCACAGCACAGAGACGGCTCTCCTAAAGGTTTTAAATGATCTTAGATGTAACTGGGA